ATTAAAATTTTGAGTTTTTGGGGGTGTAATAGTAGAATAGTACCGAAATTTGAAACATATGTAGAGAACCATTGCAACACAATGTATTAACGAGTAGTCATTTCTATCTTTTCACACCATACAAGCTTCAGAGTGACAGAACATGCCAAGTACGGTGAAAAGACACATCTAAAATGCCTCAAAGTCTAGTCAAATTTGCAATGTGAACAATAGGTTGGAGAGAAAAACTTTTCATGTTGTGCGCAAAAAATTATGACCCATAATTGCAATAATACCATAGCATAGACAGTACTTTTTGTTAAGGTATATTGTGACTCTTGCCATTAGACTTCCCAGAGGTTTTCGCAGAAATGTGGCAATTTGTATGGAACTAATTTTAGATAAATCGAGCAAAATTCATATGCTTTCCGGACACGGCTTTGCGCTTGCAGCGGCAATAATTATGAGCACAAGGCATTTTTGTTCTCCAGGCTGGAATGGATTTTTCAAAACCAAAGATTCGGGAAACTGAAAAACACGAATCAATTCGAAGCGTGAAATAGGCCGTGGTAGTCGACTATCCCGAAACGCAGTGTAGATGAGGCGACTCATTGGCTTGGATCTAGTCCATTTCTCGCAACTGTGCCATTGAATGGATGACATCCCAGGTCGTTTTTCAGGTACCGCTGATCTGAAGACCACACTTTCACTGTATTTCTTTGGTTTTCGAATCTTTCTCACATGTCAATGTCAATCGCAATGAAATAACATCTATGCGTTGCTGAAAGCTGCATTGCCGGACTTTAGTGGACATTTTCCTATCACGAGGCATTTCATACCCATTTTTTACTGGATCAGAACTGAATTCCTTCGCTTCCAGTCAGCCTCTGCATCATTAAGAAGGGGCGCGTATTTCGTAAAATTTCGCGAATCGAGAAATCATTTAATTACACTCATTTTGGCGCATAAGGCTTTCAAATCAGTGAGCATCCATGAGAATTTGTTAAAAGATGTTACGAAATAGTATAAGCTGTGAGTGGAATAACTGTGATTAGAATTGTCAAGTTATTCATCGTGAAAGCACACTGGAACGATTGTGTTCTGCACACTAGGTATATCAAGAGGAAAGATGGTAACCGAGAAGTTAATCAGTTCGAGTCATACGTCCTCCGACTTGAACCTCTTTCAGATCCACGATGTGCAGGAAAAGTTTACAAAGATCCTAGCGGCATTGGTCTCAAGTTCTGTGATGCAGAAAAACCATGCACAGAGGCAAATACTTTCTGTGACACAGAATCGAATCAGAATGTGGCAATAAAAGCCTTTTTAAACAGGGGCTTCTGCTGTCAGTGTGAGTCGATGTTTTGCAAATTTTCTATACTGTTCTCCTGAATCCAATTGATATAGCAGAGTTGGTGGATTCGACGGTGCTACTGTTCCATTGGAATGACCATGTTCCACTTCTAATGGATCTTGACATAATAAGCAGATGTTTTTTTTTAGTTATGTTGTTACATACTTGACCAGGACAATGTGACTTTGATTTCCCATTACGTTTCGGCCTTGCCGCCTACGCCTGAAAGCCGTTTGATAAGGCTGAATCTCATTATACGAGAGATTCGCCCTTGTCGAACGGCGTTCTAGAATTCAGTTCAGTTCAAACATGGGCTAATATTGCTAGACCGATCTTGCAAATCACAATAGTGAGGCTCACCTAAAATGATATTTTTGGTCGTTGCGAGCCTTCTCCGAATCGATTCCCTGAGGATAGGCATCGTTTGACCTCACCCTCGACTCGAAACTGTTAAAGCCGGGAAAGTTGATCCGGTTTTGTGCAGTCGATTTGCCGCACGCGGCAGTTTCGGACCATTTGCCTCGTTATAGCAGTTCTAACGTTTTTCATGCAGCTCGCTCGACATGTGATTACTAAATTTGCCGTGTTTCCACTATTACTCCTCTTGTTCATTATTTCCTATACGCTGTGATGCGTCTGCTACATTCTTTCAAGCGCGACGTCGCTTTCGCTGCGAAGCGACAAATTCGATTCGACTGCACCTTACCCCTTGAAGCCCGCATAGATCCTAGCAACATGACGATACCCTCTTTCCCATTACTGCGGCTGATACAGTATAAAGTAAAGCAAGGGAATGAGGCAGTTTCAGGCCAAATGCCAAATAGAGCCTGCAGGAGTGAATCCTACCTACAACCCAGCCTTATTCCTTGAGACTATTCTTAGGCTTTTGGCGAGCCTCTTTCACTTCTAATGGGTAAGCGATAATGTTAGGTATGAGGTTATCTTGCATTCTGTTCGGTAATGGTTCACCATCCTCCTGTCAATTTCATTATCCCGTTTTCATGGAATGTTCTAGTTTTACGATCGAAAAACCTTTTCAGGATCTATTTGCGGTCCTCTCAACGATTTCCCATTCAAAGTATTCTGCAGGAACCTAGACAAGTGGTAGTCTGATGGTGCTACACTCGGACTATATGGGGGGGGGGGGGGGTGTGGTAATACATCCCACTTAGCACTGAGCAATTTTTGACAGCTGGCCAGAAATACGTCCGGTCTGGAGTTACCTTATTCAAAGACAGCACCCTTACGACTGGCTAGTTCTTGGCGCTTCTCGTCTATCTCTGCCTTCATATTGTCTAGCTGAAAGCAGTACCTTACCAAAATTATCGTTTGATTATGCGAGAACAGTTCATAATCAATGATTCCCTTCCTATCACACCGGCAGCACAGCATAATCGTCCGCACCTTGAATTTGATTTCGGAGTGGCTTGTTAGGGCTCACTGAGTAGGCTCCACAATCGTTCAAGCTGTTGTGAACTGAACAGGGTGAACTCACCTTGGGTCGGCGACGCTCAAGAGTATATCATCAGTTAAAAATGACGAAATCGAAATGTCAATCGAGGAATCTGCACATCACTCTATGTGAAATACTACAAACACTCATTGTTTCAAACGCAACTATTCATAAGCCTTCTTTGGAACTTGGCTCTGTTGAGCGCCTTGATGTTTGCAAAATGCGAAGTGTAAAGAATTTTATTCTCAAAGAGTAGGGAATGATCAACTGGAGCTGCATTTGCTATTTTTCCGCTCCTGTCCAAAGGCCGCTCCTAGTCGAAGGCTAATGACGGTTTACATGCTAAGAATAGCTGAGTCGGTTTCATGGGAGAATCAGAAAATGTGGAATTGGCGGAGCCTTCTCTTGGAATCACCATCTTGGGTGATTACCAATCGATGGACAATGCAGTCGCAGGCTACCCCAAAAAAGAGCATAGTCTCTCGAAACGTAACTTGAATCGCGGAATAATGGGCAACTTGTCTTCCATGCCTCCTAACTAACATTGTCACCTACCAGTTAGAAGTGAAAGTGGCTTCGCGAAAGCATAGTCTCAAGGAAAAAGTTTGGATTGTAGGTAGAATCACTCCCACAGGCTTCAGGTGACATTTGGCCTGAAACTGCCTCACTGCCCTTGCTTTACTCTAGTATACTGTATTACCCGCAGTATGGGGAAGAGGATAAATTCATGACATCAGGATCTGTGCGGGCTTCAACGGGTAAGGCGCAGTATCATTGGATTTGTCTGTTCGCGGCGAGAGCGACGTTACTGGCAAAGGAGTGACTGCTTAATGATCATGGCAATGACGGAAAGAGGTTAGAGGTCAGAAAGCGAGAGCCAGAGGTTTGCAACGTTACTGCAAGTTGTCAGATACTAAAACAAAAGAATCTTCAAGCAATTCTAGTTTCAAAACACTCAGGAAAACCTACCCAAAGGACAAGCTGATCTACACATTTCTCGAAAAAAAAAAGCCACTCCCTCAACCGGAAGTAATCCATCCCCTATTTCGCATCACGGAAGGTTCAATATTGTTCGAAAATAGCGCTGTCAAAAAAATCAGTAAATAACATTGAGTTCGAGGTGAGTTATAACGAAATATATAGGTTCATGCTTTCTTCGAACATATTGTACCTTTGCTCGAATTTCTGCTTTGGTGCTCTGGTTCCGTGAGTGTTCGGAAAATTGTGAAGCTTCGCGGTCATCCAGCGTCGTTCCGTCTTTCCGTGCATTTGCTAAGTCTAATTCAGGAATCTATCGTCGTTTCGACATTTCTGCCATGATAGCCTCTTGTAAGGTCAATAAGGTAAGACGGTCGAGTTCTTTCGATTACAACTCCTTTTCCCAATACAATTCCTTGGGAATGATTACACACGAAACCTGCAGAAATACGAGAAAAACGATTGCGGAATCGTGTGTGTGTGTTCTACTTTTATGTAAACAGCCTTCCCTGAGCGAATACAATTGTATCCAGATAAGTTTCGGAAGCCTTGTGAATTTTCTGACGAGGAGAAGATTGAGAGGAAAAGCAAATGCCGTGCTTAGACGCGGTACGCGTTTTGACACAATTTTCTCTGACGAAGAGGTGGCCCTGGAAGAAATGTTCAGATTTCAGAGTTCACGTAAGTTTCTCACTGCATGTGGCGAGGAAGTTGATAAGTTACAGACGTTCCTTGCGGCCATCTTACTCTTGTGATGTTTAGGCTGGGATCTGTGCCATCAGAGCGATATCGCTTATTTTTTGTCGAGAAGAGTAAAAAATTGATCAGATTATATTTATGAGGGACACTCCTGATAAGCTGCTCCCGGGGGTCGGAAATCACTTCAGGGATACGACTTGGATCGCGTACTTGGTACGAACGGAATAAGGTCAATGCTGGTGCTAAGAAAATATTCGCAATTCTATCACTGCTCTCAATTGACCTACGAATTTTCCGGCCCGCAGTCCAGTGCGTTCGTTGGTATAGCGTATACTGAAAAGGAAAGCCTGCGCTCCAAAACTTTTTTGCTGCTTTCAAGAATAAAACGAATAGAAGCCTGATGATAATAATCTGATAAAAGCCCGGGGTAAGGATTCTCAAGCTCTTCGTGCCGTCGTCGTTGAGTAGACGAAGCATCTTTGGGCTAGAATTAGTTCAGGAGACGGTTATATCAGAAAACCGTGCGTTCATCTTGTTGATGCGTTTCGTAGTGAATTTCACATAAATTCATAACGTATTTACATGACTTGCGGTTTCTGCGCAACAGTTATAATACTTTGTTACATAATTATGGCGCATTCTTTATATAATAATTATGTTCTCACGTTAGTTTATGTGTAGTGGAACTACTAACTTATCTCTCGTTATCGATCTCCCTTGGACCCATAGGGTCAGCAAGGGCATGACTCCGGAGCCACGCTATTTTACCCCACTTAACGACACATTGATTGTATTTATCCTACTTTATATGGATCGCTAAGTGTGTCTGTTGAATTGTCGGTGTGTGTGTTTGACCGAAAATTCATAACTGCTGTTCCCGTGGACCCAGTAAGCTCAAATTTGGCATGAGTACGGGGGCGGCATGGGAACATTTCGGGTAGGTGGCCGGACCAGACTCCATGCACAGGGGGCGGGGCGTGCGCGATAGAAGTTTTGGGCCGCAAATTCATAACTCCTGTCCCCGTGGACCTAGAGCGTTGAAATTTGGTAGGATTACACATTTCATATGTACTAATAGAGGAACCTCAGCATTTTAGTAAGTGATGCAGGATACGAAGGGATCGTAAGTACTCGGTGACAAGAAATGATCATAACTGATAAAAGATAAGGGACATAAGAGAGGCCACCTACCGATCGAAATCCTAACGTCTTCGGTATCTACGATGTAGCTTTGACCGTTCAGTATGTTTCATTCATTAAGACGGTGTGGTAGAGCAAAGTGACAAAAAAGAGTGGTAAGGGCAGTGATAGGGACCCATTAGGGCAATACGATAGGCAGATTAGAATTTTATTCATTTCTTGCTATTAGATTACGACCGCTACCCAGCAAGATTTGTGATTCAATGAAGGATCTTCTTTGCTCCATGTCATTTGCGACAAAACTTATTCGACCGCCTGTAATCTGGAATTCTCAACTAATGATATCTTCGAAAAGAAAAGGGTCACATCACCATCTTAGATTGTCTTTTGACAGTTGGATTTTCGATGGGTAGTTATTTTCTGAGAGAGCAAAGGTTCGAGACTTTCAATCAAAGGCGTAGGCACGGAATTCATGTGAATACCATTTGCACTGCCCTGTTAGTCCTGTGACAAATTTCGTGTACAGCAAACAGTCATTTGTTCCAAAAAAGGAGTGGAGAGTTAGACTTACTGCAAGTTTATCAAAGAAGGGGGGAAGCTTTCGATTTCTGTTGTGTCAACAAGGATTTCGAGCTCTGTTACGGTTACATACTCTCACTCAGCTAAACAGTGGAAAAAACTCAAGCTCAGCTACACAGCGGAAAAAACCTATAAATCATGAGCTCTGAAAAAGGGAAAAGATTCTTCGGTACAACATTTCTCGGGATAGGGGATAGGGTGTTTGTCACAAGAAGGGGGGAGCCTGAGGTAAACGGGCGATCCGACTGGTAATCAATCAGTCAATGAAAAGTAATTAAGTTAGGAGTTATGGTGCGAAGAAACGCCATTTAATAAACTATAATGGACATAAGAAAGCTTATTATGTAAGATGCAATTCCCCTAATCATATCAATAGTAAAGTACTCTTCAGTCTGTGAGCTCTTTGTTTGTATCACGAGTAATTAGTCCATCTTGTGATAAAATATTAGTGCATTTGTGTTCTGACCACAATGTGAACTGTTAAGCGAAACTAATGAGTCAATCGTGTATGAACTCGACTGGCCATCTCTTGCTGTTACTGCCATTGAATGGTTGACTGAAACATCCACAAGTTCAACCGGCCCAGTAGCGCGAGGGTATTACGTGCAGTGCTAGCAAACGCTGAAACAACATCGGCAAAAAGTGCGCTTCTCTGAGCAAATTAAGTTTTTCTAGTGTCAATGTCAGTGTCAGCAACAGCGAAAGTGCTGAACCCATAGGGTTCGATAGCGAGTGGTTCAGTAGCTAAATGATCAGTTGGAGAGCGACAGCGCTTCAGTAGATGTCAAAAGCGTAAAGCGATTTTTCTAGATTGGCTACGGTTTAAATTTTAAAATTTCACGCAGCAGCATGTCATGGCACAAATTTTCGGCCTTTGAGTTGGCGCCTTTTGATTTTACATAATCTCATGCAAACGTTCGTCCTGCTGCACTAATACCGGCAAACAGTAAGACGGAATCTGAAGTAGAGGAGAGGAGTTCTCCGTTCGCAGCTAGAAACATTATATTATTGTATAATAATAGCACAAGATCGCTACAGATTGGGAACCAAATGTATGTAATGCAGAAGCAGACGTTAAATGAACGAAATGAAGGAACTACACGAAATATAACTCCACACGCGGATAATCTTAATTCAACGTCTACGCGCAGAGCTCTCTCCGAGCTCTACCTTCCACCCGCTAGCTCTTATACGAAGGTATCCTTATCTCATTTCGTCTCCTTACTCAAGCATTTTTCTCAATGCTCGTCTGTAGTCACATATGCCATGAAAATTTGAGCTGGAACGCCACTCAACAGTGTTGCAACGAACGTATAAACTTGTGATTTATTCGGGACGAAATTGTTGCTAAGGATCGGCTTAAGTTAGACTCGTCCGTCACACGTTGATTCTGTCAAAGAGCGAGAGTTGATTTCTCATAACGTTGGTAGAATACTATGTAAGATAAATGTCATAGATTCCCTTTTTGAAAGAGGTTTTCAACAGAAAATCGGAAATATGTAAGAGGAATAGACACCTCATGGGCAATCATGAAACGAAGGCCTCGACTAATATTCGGATTTTTGAGAAAGGCGAAAGTAACAAATAATGAAGTAAAAATGCAATGTTTCTTCACAAATTTTGTTGAGTAGTAGAACTAAACACTGTTTAATCCAATAAAGTGTTTTTGTTAATGTTCATTTTGTTCTACTTAGGGGGAAGCGGGAGCGGCATCCGTTGTCTGGTTTCAGTCTACACTGATTTATAAGGAACTTCTGATAGTATTGTTTTCAGACGATTGCACTAAAGAATTGGAGGCTGTCGCCAAAGAAAAAGCTGATCATAGCATCAAGTCGTATGCAGGATTTACTCCGGGAGGCAACCTTTGTTCAAAGGATTCGGATTGCAAAAAACCTGACTCTATGTAGGTTCAACCGGTTGGGTTATAGCACTCCGACGAGTAGGTAGTAAGAAATCACTGGCTTTGATGAGTAGCCATTGAAATGAGCCTCATGAAGTTTTATCCATCATAATCATTTCGACTCGAGTAAAAGCTGGCGAACATCAGAGGTTTAACTTCCGTTTGATGCCACATCACTTTTGGACCATCTCTTAGCCTATGCGGGCTTGCTCACTCATTTTTTCTGCAAACTCCTTTGACCTTCTCGAAAACTCAGCATTGAACCTCTACTTTTTCTCTAATTTTTTTTCTACTGTGATCTCTACAGCCAACTGGTCTAGAAACCTTGTGTGCTTTTGATATGATAACTGCAATCACTTACACGTTGAGCAATGACAATGAGCACAATGAGCATATGAAGCACAACCACAATGAGCATATGAAGTCTTATTTCCCCTGTTCATCTACCATTTACAGGTGGTAGGGCGGCCAGCCTCGGCCCCACTTATCATAACAAGCTGATCTGTATGTCTTAATCCTTATCCACGTTTCCCAGGGTTATGTAGCCCTCAACTTCAAACGGGGTTGTGAATTTTTAATTCTAGCTAACCACATTTTTCCAGGGCTTTGTAAACTTTTTAAACGGACTCTGGCTCTACCTGTCTCGCTGTACGTCCACGTTGCCTGGAATGCTGGCCTCGTTTGCCAGTGCATATCTATTCATTCCATGCTCTGAAAAGTTCTAAAATTATCCTATGTAGTTTCAACTCCAGATTAGATCATCTTTGTTCACACCCAGACCGTCGTGATCACTCATGTAGCCTTTGTTACCTTGCCTTCTTTCGTATTCTAAATTGTTTTCAGAGCGCATTCTATTCGAAAGCATGCCTGTTACTTTTGCAAATTTACACTAATTTTTCGAAAAAAAGAACAGCGCTGACTCGTTTTTTCGCTCTTTCTCTGCAAATACACTAGTTTTCAGTTCTGTTCATGTAGAATTTCATGTAATTAACGCAGCTGGTCAAGCCCAACATGCTGGTGGATGGAAAATCAAAAAAAAAATAAATCAAAATTTGGACTCTTCGTTCCATCAAGGTTCCTGAGTACATGGCATTAGTCACTTACGTCATTTACGACTTTTGCTATAAAAATAACAAAATGGTGGTCGCTCTCAATGAGTTTAATCAGAGAATCACGGAGTAGTTATTCTATTCCAAAATTTACCAAAAAGTAGATAGTCTCTTTTCTTGAGTTGTGATGACCAGTTTGATCCAAATTTTTTTGAATTGGACGTTGAGCCATTCGTCAATGATTCGATGTACTGATGAATCATGGCGAATATGAGTGAATCCTTATTGGTTAGTCCTGGCAAATTGTATACCTATTCAATAAAAGCCTTTTTTTGAGTTCTCACGGCTTTCTAAGACTCTCGACATGACTGCTGTATCATTGTTTTCTGGAACTGTCCATTAGTTTTATATCCTACTACCCTATTTTATATAATTCGTTAAGTTTGTCTGTTGGACTATCGGTGTGTTTGTTTGTTTGATTGTGTGTGTATGTGAGTGTGTGTTTGACCGGAAATTCATAACTCTTGTTCCTGTGGACCTGTAAAGAGCGTTCAAATTGGTAAGAGTACAGGAGGCAACAGAATGGGACTACTCACTGCAGGTAGCAGGACCGAACTCCACCCACAAGGGGCGCGCGTGTGCGATCGAAATTTTGGGCTGCAAATCTGTAACTACTGCTTACGTTGACCTAGAGCGTTGAAATTTGGTAGGAGTACAGACTACATCACGGAAACACTCATGACAGGTAGCAAAACCAGGCTTCGCTTATAAGGGGCGAGGTTTGGGCGAAATAAATGGTTGAGCTAAAATTCGTAGCTCCTGTTTCCGTGGACGTAAAGAGTTCGAATTCTGTAGGATTACAGCTCTTCGTATTAACGGTGGAAATTCGGCATTCTGCCAAGGATATGACGGCATCGTAGGTACTGAGTGACCGGAAACGATTACAACTGATAAGAGAAGATAAAGGGTCTGAGCAGGAGCGACTTACCAATCAAAATTGTAACCCTTTAGTATTTACGATGTAGCTTTGGCTGTTCAGTATGTTTCATTCGATAAGGCGAGTGATAGAGTCCCATTAGCGGCACTACGATGAGCGGATAAAAATTTTGTTCATCTATTGCTACTAGATTACGATTGCTACCCAGCAAGGTTTGCGAAACAATGAAGGATTCTCTTTGTTCGATATCATTTGCGACAAAACTCAATCGACAAAATTTTGCGAGAACCGTCCAAAGCTTTAGTTGCCTACCGGTTGAATCTTTAGTGGCTATTCATTTCTGAGAACGAGAGCAAAAGATCGAGACTTACAATTAAAGGCACAGTTCACGATAATTTTGGGGTATCCGGTTCTTGTCAAAAAGATGTTAGGTACGGCCTATAGTAGTACAATGGAAAAGCGGAAAATGCGAAAAACGATGAATAAAAAGAAATACAAAGCTTAAAAAAGAAGAGAAAAAGGTGGTTGGACGATTACACGGCAAAAAACAGCGGTTAAGGGAGTTTTGGGCGAGTAGACGAATGCGACGTAATGTCTGCAGCTCAAACAGCTGATTTTGGCTTTTTCGTTAACATTATTTATTCTACTGCTGATATTAAGCTAGATTATTGTGCCTGATTCTTTTGATGGCAGCTGAGAATAATTAATCAGAACAGAATAGAGCAGAAGATTAGTCGAATAGTAGGAATACAGCCGAGTACTATTACCAGTAGGAGGCGGTCGATTAGCTTATTGATTTTTCACTAATGTTGCTCCAATGCGAGACTGTGAACGGCAATTGGATTTCGTAGTCAGCCTGGCGAGGCTGGCCGTACTTCACTCTCCGGCCCCCTATTGTGCCCTATCCAGAACGTTTTTGGACTTCATTTCGGCACATATGGTGTCAGAGGGGGCTCCGAATTCATACCATGTGCAAATCTCCGAAACCATTTTTATCGTGAACCTTGCCTTTAAAAGCGCAAGCACCGACTTACACTGAATACAATATGCACTGCTCTGCTAGTCCTCTGTCGGGCCTTATGTACAGGAAAATACAATTTGTTTCAAAGAAGGCGGATAAAGCTAGCCGATTATTAAAACTTTATCAATGAAACAGGGAAGCTCGGCGTTAGCCGGGCGAACCGACTGTATGAGCTTTATTAAGCTAACCAACTGCCTTTCTTCAGGACTTGGAAGGATCATAATAATTCGTGAGTATCAGTACAACTGAATGGCTACTGCAATTTTCAGACAATTGCAAAGCTTATATATAAAGCTAATGACCCCACGTAGAGCTTTCTCTGGAAGCGCTATCATTAGACATGCTGGCACCATGATTGACGGGAGTGAATGGACAAAGAATGAAGTCTTTGAGCATCATTTGATTTCGTCCTAAGGATGCGCACCCGCTCAAGACTTCCAATCATAATCGTAGTGGAGGAGTGAATGCGTGTGTGGCCTGTCAATGAATTGCGGTGGCCAGCCGAAATACAGTCAGTGTTTTTATCTCACCAGATGAGTCTAGCGAACCGACCCCGTATGGATGGAAGTCTTGGTCGGCCTAGGCGCACATCGAGCAGGATTTCGTAACCGTGGCCATGTGTGTGTGATAGTACGCCACTTTCCACTACACGACCTCAGGACTGCTTCAATCAAAATGCAGTTTGTGTGAACAATTTAAGTTAGTGGCACCATCAAAAGCTAAGCTATTGACGAGGTGCAAAAAAACTCTCTAAATGATAGGTATGACAGAATTGAATACCATCACCTTCACGACTGAATAAATTTCCAAAGTACAAGGCAAACCCTCAGAAGGTAGCGATCACTTCGCTCTTGCAGAAGGAACTGTTTATCAAAATACCAGTTGGTTCACCCCGCTGGCCGGGCTTCCACTCCTTCTTTGAAACAAATAATATTTTTCTATACATGATGTTTGACACAGGACTAATAGAACAGTGCAAATGGGTATTCACTGTAGTGTGCTTACGTCTTTAATTGGAACTTTTCATCCATTGCTCTCTTTCACAAAAATGATGGATGCCGCTAATGAGTCCCCATCACTACCCTTACCACGCACTTTTTTCACCCTACTCTGCCATCCTGTTTCATTGAATGAAACATACCGAACAGTCAAAGCTACATCGTAAATACCGAAGACGGTAAGATTTTGATCGGTAGGTGGCTCCTATTCTCTTAGGTTCCTTATCTTCTTTTATCAGTTATTATCGATTCCTCTCATCGTGTCTACGACCACTTTATATCCTACATCACTTATTAAAATTTCGAGGCTGCCTGTACTCCTATTAAATTTCGACGCTCTTGGTGCGGGCAATCAGGAGTTATGAATTTGCGGTCCAAAATTTCCATCGCGCACACCCCGCCACTTATAGGCGAAGTCTGGTCCTGCTATCTGCCATGAGTATTCCCATCCTGCCCCCATAATCCCACAATTTGGACTCTCTATATCCACGGGAACAGGAGTTATGAATTTCTGGTCAGACACACATTGACACACACACACCAACACACCAACAGACACATTTAGCGAATTATATATAGTAGGATGTTTTGGATAGGGTCATATTTATTAGAAGTGTAATCAGTAAAAGATACGAACTGATGGTGCATCATGCATGCTCATTCAATATGCTCTCTCTGCTTTATGGGTGCTAGGTGGGTGATTGACCAAGCAGTGTAGAAAATAGGTACTGGAGCTGTTGATTCGGAGTGAAGCTTCTCGATAAATGATTATCATATCACGATTATGACTGAACACCTGATTGAGAATGAATTTCACTAATGTAAGTTTTAAAAACTTTTTAAACTGAAGTATGGAGATCCTTCCTCGAGCCCACTGAGAAGATATCGGAAGGCTGTGTGAAGTCAGATCCTCAAAATAAATAGCCTCTTCATTGAAACTACAATTGTACTCGAAGAGCTTCGTGATTATCACTTTGAAGGAATGCGTAATTCCGTTTTGTATATCGTGAACGTCATTCGGAAAAGCTAGAAACATTTTTGTTTGCATTTTTAGTCCGAGCCGTTACTTTTGATGTACTCTCAGAAACCTTGATTTAATGAGGATCCAAAACTAGGCCTTACAAATTTCAAATCCACCACATCGCTGAGCTCGAACTCGCGTTTTTTTTTCAAACGATTCGGGTGATTATCGTAGACGGAGCTTCGCTTAATGTAGGCTTGTATGGCAGACTTTAGATGCGCTCCGAACCTATCGTCGTTTGCCGAGCAAATCGTCACGCAAATAGCATGCTGCACATCAGATCGTCATCCTCAGCACTATGCAATGCGATACTTCCGTTCGGATCACTTTTTTCGCGCTGGTATTTGAATGCAAACTAGAGTGCGCCACGGAGAAATGAGTTTGATCTGCTTGTAGGAGAAGTAAAGTGGAAGTTATAAAAGGTGTGTCGAATTCCTTCTATGTAGAGACGTGCAGAATGGCTCCCCAATAAAGGGAGACGAAACATTCACACAATTCTGGCCGAACGTTGCGCAAAGAAATTCGTGGCGAATCATACGACTTTGAAGCCTATCATTTGGGCACAAATTCGAAATAGAATAGATAAGTGATAGGTGAGTAGTGCTTGCTGGCCCTACTTATCCAATCTACTCTAAACCTGTGCCCCAATGAGAGGCATTAGGGTCATTTGAATCAGCACGAATTTTGCCGCGCGCTTTGCCGCGTCCATCCAGATATGGGGGAGTGTATCCATACGTCTTAGTGGATCGGCACCGATGTTGTATTCAAATACCCGCGCGCGTAAAAATAATTCCAACCGCAAAACCCTTACACGGTTCGAACGCGTCCATCTCGAGATCACAGGCTGCGCCATGTCCGAGATGTGCGACGTGACCTAGTTGTATCGACCGAAAAATCTGACGCCCCCCAATACACCTTAAATCCTATTAATTTCCGCGACTTGCTTATGCTCTCCAACCCGATTTGCCATCGAGTTATGGAGTTATGTTGCAAGGACCTCTCATTCGAAAAACGCTCCACCCTCGGGAATTTGTTTCTCCCCTTTCTTGACGCACTCCCTCGACAATTTTCAGGTGTGTGGGCTATTCCGATATTGGATTATTGAGTTCCTCTCTTTTCACCTCTCATTACGGTGCATGTCCCATCCCGTTGATAGAATTCCGCCAATCTCGCATGGGTTTTCCCATCTTCCTTTATGCTCAATACCCGTCGGGACGCGCGGCTTAAACCGAGCCTCATTCCCTACTTTTACAAAGCAGATAGAAAACGTATTATAGTTGGCGCCGAGGGGGGGGGGGGGGGTGTGCACCTCACTCACCCCATGCTCCTCCACTTCTGAAGCCCAGGTCAAAAAACTGTTGTTCTCGGCTAAGAAATGTTCCTGAGCTCAAATGAAGGTTCACTTCTTCATCTGCGCTTTAGCATACAAAGTTGAAAAAAGGGAAGGTCTTTCAACCGCATTATCACCTTCGAACTTTTATAGACATACATAGCACGATACCTGTTCAGGTAGAAACCATCGTTTTGAAGTCTCCACAACACTCCACTTTACTCACTTTCCTCCGCAGTACTAACTCTATTCCATTGACCTACCAACCATGTTACCGTTTATTTATAAGAATTAAATGTAGGATAGAACTTTGTTATCCATATCACTACCTCATCGCAATCATAAAGCTCGCGGACGGGCAGACCGACAAACACACAAACCTTCAAACCTACAAACCGACAAACCGACACATCAAGTTACTGTTTATAAATAAGACAATGTAAGATACTACCGTGTGATCGGCTTATCAGGTGCTTCATTACGCCGATTTTGTGAGAGGCATGCAGACTGAAACCCATCAAATATTTGTGATGTAATGATAGTTACAGTGGAGCCTTAATAAGTTTATTCAAAAGACGATTTTCAGGGGTAGATGTGTTACAGCCGAGGACAAGGGGAACCCAATAACTCCACTTCAGAAAGGAAAGAGCTTGAAACTATGCTGTTATTGTAAGCATCCTCTACAATTTTCCATCCATCAAAATTTCAAAAGATGCATCACGTCATAGTCCACAGTGGCATGTTTTTTAGATAGTGCCAAGAATGAAACGGAAATGTTCCGCTGCAAAACAGGAATAGTTGCTAAAGATACAGCCGGCAAGGTTCTAATGTGCGCTAAAGATGAGGACTGCAATCGAGTGGAAGGAAAAGAACTGGCGGATGAATCAAAGTGGGACAACGAATGTGTCGAGTCTCCTGAATACAATATGAAATTTTGCTGTCCTGGTTAGTGGATATAACAATTTGGGTGCTTCTAACAAGGAGGGAAGCATTTTAGTGTACAGCGCGTAGGACTGAAGGAAGTATTTCCTTTTATTATTGAACAGAAAATTTGAGTTGCTTAGTAAGTAGTACCATCGTATTCTTACCTGCCCCTTCCCTGGCAGACGAAGAACAACATGAGTGGACTGCTATAAATAATTTTGCCCTGTAGATATAGGTATAGACGTAGCTTTATTACGTGTGCAAAAAGCACAAGTGCGAAAAGTATATCAATAAAACACCGGAAACTCAAACACAACTTTCATACGAACAAAACCAGATGTCGGATTCTCACTGTAATAGATGGAGAAATTTTATAGTTCAGCAGTCGGTCTCACTTTTACACCTGGGCAGTCCACTTTTTTAGTACAAAGATTGCCCAATTATTAGTCGCGTTTTTCATCAAATACTTTGTTCTACTTCTACGTAACGTACGTACTTTATTGTTATTCATGCATTGCATTGTATTGTAGCAGCAGTTCACTAGATCTTCATTGTCAGTGAAATGCGTGAAATTCTTAGTTCGGAATGGGCAAAACTTCTCAGTATTACATGTTGTTGAACAGGTCTTACAACTAAATCCCGATAATTCAAAATAAGGTTGAGTAGTTGTCATTCTGTGACCCTGAACATTATTCGTAACTTTACTAATGCTGTAAAGTTTTGCGCCTAACCAGTAGTCGTAGCTGGTTATGAGAGGTGGTACAAGCGGGTGCAGGCGTATTGTGGTACGGCTCAGGCTGAGCGATCACAATGGTTAAACGCACAACCATTAGTGTTTTGCAGTGTCAAAATGCAAGGACGCGTTCACATACATGAAGGGAGAATACGACTGCAATGGAGTGCTTGATTGTCTCAAAGAGGAAGTGGATAAAACAACAAAGGCTGATGCAAGAGCAAGATGCGAAGATTATTATGAAAAGAATAAGCAAAAGGGCAAAAAATGCTGTCCACTCGGTAATTCCATTAATTAATGAAAGTTATGAAAAAAAAAGTGATGCTTTCATTTCAACCACGAACCTAGCAAATACAGATTGCAAATTCCCGTGCCTTTTTGCTTTAAAGTTCCATAGCAAAAAAGAAATTCAACAGTGTCATTGAATGCTTTTGAAAGCATAAGGAAATTTCTGTTTTTTTTTTCTCTTTTGTCCTCTTCTAAGTATTCTTAGTTTAACTTCGGATAATTTCTTGCTTTCATCATATATATATTGCCGGTGTGATCTATTTGACTTATTACGCTACTCAGAATGATTTCGTGAGCAATCTAGTTTCTTTACTTTGAAAAAGAAAAGTAGGCGGAACTAATTTTAAAGCTTTTGGGCTGGTAAACAAGTTATGTCGTCCGTTTCCATAGGATTCTTTTTACAGCTTGAGTTGCATACCGCAGCTATTTCTTGCTAAAATATGTTATACTATTATTTGAGACTTTCGATTCTGTCGGAATGGCTAATTTAGATTTCAATCTTGCCAAGTGGGACATTACGTAGGTGCGAGTTTGTCTGGCTCAATCTCCTATTACGTACCGAAGAATTGATGATTAAGCACTTAGGGCTCGATTACAATCCCTTATATGCATCTTACTTCTCGAATGTCTCGCAAGGCTAGCCGTTTTTTCTTTGGAACATTTTTTCGTCAGATTTATTGTTGCTCCTTGAGCCATGACAACTTTTTCGAATAAGACTTTTCTTCCTAACTTCTCTGATCTGATAATACTTCGTGAGCTTTTTTTCCTCCGTGCACAACTGGGAACTACATGCGTTCTGCTTTCACTTCGATTTCGTTCTTTGGTGTGAAAATCAAATTCAAATTTACTTCATGGTAGTGTGCCATGTCGTTAAAAAGGTGATCTGCTCCAATTAGTGTGCCGGAGCCGTGAACGTAGCTAGTGATATTTGTAGGTTGTACTGAATAGATACTATTATAAAAGAGCAGTTTATATACGAGTCAGCACATTACGGATCAACCTCCGCCGGCGGTTCTCGATGGACCTATCGTCGAAACAACTTTATTCGTTCTCCCAATACGCAAGTTTGATACAATAGGATAGATTGCAGTGGAAGGGTAATTTCACTTTTGATAGCGAGATGATTGGGGTCATGAGGTCATTCATTCCCTTATCTTATGCTAGCACTTTTTCCTCTTACTGTACAGCTTTTTGTCACAACCATTATCTCAGCCGATAAGATCCGCACCCCGGCGATCCCAGAATTTTGAGAACCAGATCATTTCTAAGTCAACCACAGCATATTTGGTGAAACTTTTGCTTGGAAGACTATGTGCCCTTCTTTCCTTTGGTCTGATCGCGCTCGAAATGCCGCTCCTTGAGATCTGAGCGACCACCAAAAAGACGTTAGTGATTTCCCTTTCGCTTTAGGTAAGATTTAGCGAACCGTAACAAGAGAATATGCTATTAGCTGTACGATTCCACAGGAGGGAAAAAGGGAATGAATTAATTGCGAATAATTTTCGCTAATTCTCGTCGACTAGTTCTCCCAATCCGAAAGTTTGGTAACGACTTGAAGCATAGCGTGCTCGGTAAAAGATTGGAGATGAATATGTTGTTGTCGTGCTCAAAGGACCTAACGTGCCGTCGCGTCCATTAGGAACGATGACATCCATGACGATATCAATTTGCCCTTTGCTACTTCTATAGGGTGACCCAAGTGTGACGGGCATTAAAAAAATCAACTTATGGGCTTGCGGGCTGGAGGATGCGGTGATCCCTTGGGCGAAAGGAACGCTATGAACGTCAGCTAAACCTTTCCCAGGTTTAGGCACCAGCCCACAGCGCAAAGAAGATGCTGCATTGTTGTGAAAACACGCCTCCAGGTTTTTGGGGCGGAGCAGGTTTAACCTTCAAATTCCCCGATCTCAATCCTGTGGATTTTGCTGTATCAACGATTCTGAAGCAAAAAGCCTCCGCTTTCAAACATGGGTGTTTGAACCCTCTGAAAAAAAGCTCTCTTGTAGAAGCGGGGGATGAAAGCGATTGCGCGCATAATTGAAAGCTTCCGAAAGAGGTTGGATGCTTGCATTAAAGCAAAATGTGGTCATTCTGCATGCGCAATGTGATATGCTGTTTACATTTTTGTGATGATTGTATAGAAGCGAATGTTTCATATTTGGTTTGATTTGTATAATTTTGATGCTAGTTATCTGCGCCACACTTCATGTGGGTCACCCTGTAATGTACTACTTGCCACAGAAACGTGATCATTATAACACCCATCTAGTTGTATATCGTGAATTTAAAGAAATTACAACACATCATTATGATGACATAAAAAAGCAATGTTCCCTGATTTCTTTTCTTGCCTAGACAGCTGTAAATTGAGAATCATTTAACTGTTCCCTACGTCCGTAATTGTAATAAATGATCTCCCGTGTTTCGCGGGGATGCCGATTAGTGACCAAAACTACACCACCGACACCCCGACTGCCTCTCAGATGCCATTAAGAAGGGGAGGGCAGGCGGGGTCTCGGTAGTGTACGGGATGAAAGAGCATGATGATTAGGAAAGCACAAGAACGGGTTTGAGTCTTATACGGAACCAAAGTTCTGCCCACAATTCGCCATCCTAATGAGACATTCGGATGGCGTACTGCGGCGATATACAGTGATAACAAAACATCAACTCAAACAAATAAGATTTTTCGAGTGGCATTATTACATAGCTTTCACACCACTTTGGACTTGCTGTGAATGCCATTAACTCTTATTTCGTTTCGTTAATGTTGCAATCAATTCCGTGATTTCCCCACTCTATTTTGTGGACCTCCCCATCAATTCCGTGGTGTGCTTACTACACTCGCCGCAATTATTTGCGGGAAGAAGGACACTACTTACTACTCNTAAAAAGTTGGAGTTATTGCTTATTCAGTTAACTCAGGACATCAGCATCGCCTCGAGTCTTACAATCCATCACTATGGATAATCCACAAGTTCGGTGGGCCTGTTCGTCTGTTTGTTTGTTTGTGTGTGTTTGTTTGTTTGTGTGTTTGTTTGCCTATCACCAACTTCGGTATCGCCTGAAAAACACCTGTAGAAGTCAGCACAAAGTCGGGATGGGTAGAGCTCAGGACAAGATCAATAGAGCACATATGAGCTCAGCGGAACTCCGCTCAAAAGGAGGAATGGAGTGTGCCAAGAGCCAAACACCTTATTTTGATTTCGAATCGCTCTACACACCAGGAAAAAAAAGTAATATCAGGATTGGACAGCAAACCAGTTGAAGAAGACCCACCTGCTCGGGGCGGTACTTTCCACATGGAATCATTACTCGATTCAGTGAATGCGTGGAGGGCCAGAAGAAAATGGAGGGAGTGGTCAAGGTAAATACGTGCTAGGCATACGTAAGCTCAGTGAAGCTCCACCTACAATGGGTAGGGCGTGCATTCACATGAAAGCTACTTTTCAAAAAGATGTATGACTTTGTTCGAAAATTTTCTAGGTTGCCGGGAAAAGGTGTTCAAAGGCTATCGGCAAAATGTGATCGAATTCAAGGAGTTGGCAGAGTTTGCACTGGGGTGGGCGAGGCTGGGAGCAAAAACACATAACTCACAAGGGAAGGATCCCAAGTCGAAGTGGCCATTTGAAATGAGACCTATACTGCTAACGTATTTTTCGATGCTGATTTCAAATCTGCATTCAAAATCTGCCAAACGATTCTCTGAACGAAGTTACGG